ATAATCACATATCAATTTTATCTAACTTTTCAATATCTACTTTTTTGCCTCATTAGACAATATTAATTTGTTATCATTATTTCGTCTAAACAAATTTTATATTAAGATATAAAAAATCTACCTTATGTAATTGCATCTGAAAAGAAGACATTTTTTTTACAATAAATTTATTCTTTTTTACTAATATGTGTGATAAATGTAGGAAGTATATTAATTAATACAATATTATAATCATTTTTTTTAATTGTCTCATAAAATGCATTGAAAATATTTCCAAAATATTTTAAAACTAATTATATTAATGTCATTAGTAGTTTATTTATTTATTTTACATGTAATTAAACTATTATAAGCATTATTATTTGTTATTATAAATCGTAAAATAAATTCATTGGATTAAAAAAGAAAAAAAAAAAAATAATGGATCTTAACGATAAAAAAAATTAGATTAATACAACATTTATTTGCAATCATTGTAAAAATCTTCTACTTTTATTTTTAAAAATTTCTCTTCATATTTTATTGAATACCTATGAAATTTATTGCATATTTATTGTATATTTTTTCATCATAATTATAAAATGTTTAAATATGATAAAAAATATAATAAAATATATTTTAAAGACATAATTTCTCAAGATTTAGATTTTCGTTCTATATTATTAAAACACATAAGTATCGTCTGTAAGTATAATTAAATTAATGTTATATATAAATTATATTATAATCATCGCACCTTCAATAACATTTATAATTTTTAATATCTTTCTTTTATTCCCTAATACCATATTAATCATATAGAATAAATTTTGTATATAATAAAAATAATTATTAAATAATAGTTAAAATAATTTATTTATTTATCACATAATATATGCAATGCAGTATAACAATTTATTAATATATTATCTAAATTTCATATAAAATAATATACGATTTTAATAGAGTAGAATTATTTCATTTAGTGAATTGAATAAATAATATAACATTTTATTTCATTATTTAAACGCGTAAGTTTTGAAATTAATTTTAAATAAGTACCGAAAAATAATATTTAAATAATTTGTTTTTAAAATACAAAAGTTAAATTTATGGAAAGTCTAAATAAGTCAAGAAGATTAGCCAATTTCTTTTCGTAACTCTGCAAATTTTAGAACATCATTTTAAAGTTACAAATCGATAAAAATATATGGATAATTAATATTTTTGAAAAAAAAAAAAAAAAAAAAAAAAAAAAAAAAAAAAAAAAAAAAAAATAATATATCAACAGACTTGGATGAATGCATTTTTATACTATTTTACATTTAAATTCCATTCATTTTAAATAAATGGTACCGTATTGAGAAAACTTGTATTTTTATTTCTCTTAGTGTGTCAGCGCTTTAATTTTAATCAGAAACATTCTAATTACTTTTTAATTATTCCTATTTTTTTTAATTTATTAAAAACTACTTTTAATTATTACAAGTATTAAAAGACCTAAATGTCGATAAAAATATGTTAATTACAAACGATTTTATAAAATTTAAACTGAATTTAAAAAATATTTTAATTTATAAACAATACAACAAAAACAGATCGATTGTTTAGCAATATTCATTTTCAATGAACATAATAACTTTTTAAAAAATTGAATTTGATTAAAATAAAATTTAAATTCGATGTCAATTCTACCATTTTCTAATACCAATTATTTATTCTTAAATATATGAAAATATTTTTATATAATCTTCTGAGTAGAAATACTCTTTTATGAATATATTTTATTTCGAGTTAAAGTTTAAAATAGTATAATTAAAAACTTTCAAAAGTCAAAATCAAAATCTATATATTTATTTATTTATATCTATATATCTATATCTAATATATCTAATATATATCTATATATTTATATATCTATTATAATTTTTGTTGTTTATCATTATTTTATGATTTGTAAAAGTACATTTTACATTAATATACTCGAATGTAATTTAATTAATAAGTACTTTCGATTTCACTTTACATAAATTAATTTCATTCTTGAACTTGATAAATAGATAAAAGTTTTCTGCTTTTCACCATATTGAGAAAGCCAATGTATATTTCGAGAATTTAGTTCTATTTTGGTGTTTGTCAAAATTGCCTCACTTTTCTGACGTTTAGTCAAATTGAATTCGGTGTCCTTGCTGCTTTATGTTTACTAAATTCTTTCATTTTCATTTATTAATTAAGTTCATCCATATTTGTAACTTGAAATACATTGTGTATGCATTAATGAATCTTTTAAGCTTATGATTAACTAATTTACGAAATAGAATTACAGATTTTAATTAAAAAATGTCATAACACTAGATTTTATAAATTTTATAAATTTACAGAATTTTAAATAACATATTGTAAATATATATATATATATATATATATATTTTTTTTTTTTTTTTTTTTTAATACAAAATAAAGATCTCGAAAATTATTACTACGTACAAAAATAAAATTTTATATTAGTGACTTACATGTTGATGATGTAGATATGGTCATCGATTAAAATATAAAACACATTTCTCAAGGTTCCTACCACCAGCATTAGCAACGTTGAAACGTTGTCCTTGTGAAAGCTTAGTACAACATAGAAACAAAAGAATAGAAATAAAAAATCAAATAAAGGACATTTATAGAGTAAACCGAAAAATAAAATAATTAATTTGGAAACAATAGTAAAGTGATCATAATTACAATATTGTATCTAAAGGAGAATATTAATTAAATAATTATATATGAAAATAAATGTAGACTATTCGGAAAAAAGAGTATTAAGTTTTCAAAAAATCGAAAAAACATATGATTTGGCAATATAATAAATATAAATTACAATATAAATTGTAATATAAATTACAAACAGTAGTTTTCATAAAATAATGAACAGTAAAATAATAAAATACAATAATAAATATTAATGCTTTTTAAATTGATTAATAGAAACATTGCCTTCTCTTTAATTAAGAAAATTCAATAAATATTGTATCGAGTAAACATTTAAAAATCAAGTAAACATTTAAAGCTACTGAAAATTTAATAATTTTTAGATAATAAGATAAAAATTTACCGGTTTTATTAATTATGAGGTAGTTTCGCTCTTTAATAAAGTTCTGAATAAAAGTTATAAAGGTATAATTTTTACAGTCTATAAGACAAATTATAAGCATACTTGGACATAAGTTTCTAACAACAGTTTAGTTTCAGAACGAACGTTAAATATAACAGTAAATTTTATAAATTCGATTTTAATATTTTAGGGAGAATTAAAATACAAGTAGAACAATATTTGTTGTAAATAGGAATAATACTTTTTAGAAGTGAAATGTATAGTTTTCTCCATAAAGTGGCGGTAACCAAATAATATGCACATAGATTAAGCGCACATTTATGGATTGATTTTACAATTATTTCATTGAATTTGATTGAATTTTTAAATAGAGTAGTATAACAACGCGTAAATAAAAACTATGATATATACATACAAAAAAGTTTTAAAATAATATCGTATGACAATAAGAAAATAATTTAATTGCTACATTATTCATTAATTTGTAATGCAGTAAATGCATTTTGTAATAAGCACTGAGTAACATGAATATTTTACTGTGAATAGATGAAAAAAAAAAAATGTCATTCAACAAACAACTAACATGCAAAAATAATTTACAATTTGGATGATTTATCAAATGAAAAATCTATCAGAATCGTAAATATTAAATGTTAAAAATTGTCCAACAAGAAGGGATTTCATAAATAATAAAAATTATAATAATACGAAATAAAGTTTTTATGTTGTATAAAAGAAAACAATGCTGGAAGAAATAAAAATAGAATATATTGCAGATTGTATAGCTTCATATGAATAATAATTCTACGTACGCAATAAAATGTAATCTAAGCAGCATTTAGATAATTACGATTGAAACCCTCGAAATAAATTTAAAACTCTAAAAATTATTTTCTCGTATCATTGTAAATAATTTTAATGGTGAGTGACAGTTATTGATTATAATGAATTGCATATAGCAATTACTAAATAGAAAAAAGGAATTATACAAATATTAAAATAAAGTACAATTAAGAATTTATATATTGTAAGAAGTAAGTACTTTTCTAACTTTTAAGCTCTTGCTCTTATAAATTTTTTAATTAAAGCAGTGTCCAAACAGTGCTACAAATGTAAAATTCAAATGTAATGTTCAAATGGGATATTTAAAAAATAAATCCAAAATGTTTAGTATTATATTACTCAAATATTGGAATGTCGCTTATTCATGGCTGGTATTTGCAATGGTTCAATTATTATATGATAACACTTCCGGATTATTAAATATCGAATAAGTATAATTTTTTTAAAAGAAAACTCTGGAAGTAATAAACGGAACTTTTCAGTAGTATCGATCCTTTTTTAATCGTCTTCAGCAGTGTTAATATGCACACGGTAATAGGCACTCTT